GGGGATTATGTAAATTAATTGGCAGTTAAATATGACCGGAAAACTTTGAGGCATTCGGCGAAAAAAATTACCTTAAGTTTGAGTTTTTTCTGGGACATGGGAAATAAGTATTTTAAATAAAAGATTTTTAGCAAATTTTATAAGAAATCGATTACTAACGTTACACATTTAGCTTTTTTTAAGTTTTTCATACTAATAATGACGTGTAATTAAAAATATTTGCATGCTGCTTTTATTACAGATTCGGAAGTTATAAAAAACTAACATATTTTGTTTCGTTGTGATGGTTAGTAAGAGACTTAATTTGAGATTGTAATTCACTTAACATATATCTATATTAGAGTTTGTAGTGGTCTCAATGGACAAAGATATTTATAGTAGGTAAAGGTTCATTAGATCAATATATTTCTTAGGCAGGATTTTTAGAATTCAAACGCATTCGCCCTTTGTCCAGGTTACATAATGTGACCTTGTCTGTCATTTCTGGCCCTACCGATGCCCTCCCTCGACCTTAAACACTGAAACTTAGCATAGATAACAAAAAGGTTACTTTGCCCGGCGTAGACATCTCTCTGAGTAGAGAACTCCTAAGTTTTTACATTAATTTATGATCACTGATATGAAATGTAAATGTCCGCTGATAAGGCTCGCATTTTTGTCATCCATTAAAATACCTACTTCATGACTTGGAAAACAGGTAAAGGGCCTACATAAATATATTGAATATATTGAATCTTTAAGCCGAGGTTTTTAAATAGAAAATATTTAAATGAAAATTAAACTTATACCTGACAATTAGGATCGATAAAGCAACACATTTTATGGACATTCAGAATACTTTACAGCAAATAATTTTCCTATTAAACTAAATTAAATTCAGATATCGCTGTGTTAATCTATAAAGCGGGGTATAATTGAGCCTGTTTTCGTTTCAGCCCGGGTCGTTTTCCCGACACTCGAAATATTTGTAATTATATTTAGTGCGTTTAAGTGTACACTGTTTTAACTCAACCCTAAACAAAGGAATGGTCTCTCTAATTATGTTAATCTCGGAATAAAGTTATGCCAGCATACTTGTAAGGGACGAGACCCTACCCCACTTATGAAACGTTTTTCGCACTCCTACAATATGGCTTCTAAGCGATTCAATCTCGAGTCCCTTATAAAGCTTGGAATAATATAGCCTAAACATATACATATGTCTTGATTATTATACATTAAGAAAAGTATTTGTTGCTAGTGAGCTATTCCGACTTTTTCGGAAATTATTAAGATTCTAACAATATAAGGCTTTTCGGAGAAGGTAGATACATGAAATCAATGTCACTCGAACACGACTAAAAAGATTGGTGATGTCATAAAAACAAATAAAACATCGTAAAGTATTAAATTTTATGCATAGACAAAGTCAGAACAGCCATTAGTTTCTATATAAGGGTTTTCACCGAGAAAATTCAGTAAGCAGTTTCATTTCCAATTACAGGTTTTCCTTCGATTTGATTTCACGGAGTAGAAATTGCAGTATTAGATGAAAATTTTGGCGCAATGCCGAGCTACACAATTACGTAATTAGGTTCCATTTAGTTCAAGCCAATTTTAACTTACATACTACGAATACTTGGAAATGTGAGCGTGATATGAAGCAGAATATTATAAGAAGGAATATTAGGTAGCTGTTCAATAATGTTCTAATATGTAGATACATACGTTTGGTCTGGAGACTTTCAAAATATAGCAAGGGAGCGCCGCCCGCATACGAAACAAGGTAACGTCAGAAAATAATATAACTTTGGTGATTTAGATATTCTTGCCAAGTACTAAATAAACTGTTGAAAAAGAAAATTCTATTTTCCTTATACAATTAATAATCAATCTTTCAAGTTTACAAACATATTATGACTGTATAATAAAAGAAATCCAGCGAATGTTATCCTGCACTACTTATCTATTATCATTTAATAAAACAGTAGAGCCTACGTTTAGTTATTGTCAGTATAAATATCTACTTTACGCGAGTAGTACACAATTAAATAAAACACTTTAACTGTTTAAAACGCGATATATTAGTTAAATTTATTTAACAATGATTTTTACTTCGGCCCGACGTTTCGGGTCCTTTGCAGCCGCCGTGGTCACGGGAAGAGCCATTTAATTTTTAAATAAGTGGGTCTCCCGAACTAATATATCGTATTTTAAACCGTTAAAATTTTTTATTTAAAAGTATTAATATCTGTTTTAAGCTTTAAAAAAAAGGTTAGTTGAAAATTGAGTAGGTATTAAAATAAAACTATTCAAATAATCCGTTATTAATAAACAAATTTGGAGAATAATTTGAGTCGTGGAACTGCATAATTCGTTATCATAAGGAAATAGCAACTGCGTCTAAAGAAAATTCCTCAAAAAGTATAACCTAACTCTTCAATGTCTTGTGTCTAGATAGAATTGTAAGAAGCTACTGAATCTTGCAGTACCTTCATGTCTATTCGTCGCAGTGAATGTCACAAACATGCCCTTTAAAGTACAATAGCCCAATAGGTAATGTGCAATGAATATTAAAGGCCTTTGAGGCAGACGCGTTCAATGTACTTGTACCAATGCTAGACTGTTACATTTGTCCCACGAGGTTTGTCACAATGCCTAAAGCCCCCTGTTTTTGTAGATTTGTGTTTTGTTGACTGTATAGGTAACTACAACGGTATAATTGTAAATTGTTTGTAAATTTAATTTCACTATAGATGAAATATATAAAAATTCTTCAGAACAAAACAATAGACGTTCAACTTTGAAAGAGTAGCAAAAATGCCTGATAACTGCCATGGAGTAAGAGTTGTGAAAAAACAGCTAGCGTAGGTACTTACGATGATAATATTTTGATTGACACATTAAAAAACACATTTTAATATATATTTATAATATTTTAATATTATAAATATTTATATATTAATATTACTATTTTATAATATTTAAACTTATCTACATTGTCAAGGTATACACATAATAGTATAATAAGTATAATGTTAATATTGAATCTCCAAATATTTTGCTGACGGTAGTACAAACAGGAACGATGGGTTGCAAAGATAACAGACAGCAAATTGTACCCCGGTCCTATCCGGCAAATTGGGTGCATTTTCCACACGAAATTTTAACACGGCACCCGCCTCGGGAACAATGCCATTACTTGTTAGCGTAGGTATTATATATTTTAGATTACATCATACACGTTCGGGGTTGAATTATCTCGCCTTTATTTCAAAAGGAAACATTTTCAGTAAACCACTTAAACATAATTTGGTATAATAAGGATATTAAAAAAGTTTAAGACGTATGTAATTCATATTACTATTTACAAATTATATATTTATACAAAGGCTTTGAAAACTTTCGTTAAAATTTTAAAGCACAATATATTTACCGTTTAGTAAGTAATAGCAAACAGTAACCCGTGCCTCAGCTTTGGTGACTTTGTCATTAACAAACGGAATCGCATCTATTCAAAGTCAAAGTACTATGAAATATTATTAGTAAAACATTCTAAAAAGGAACAAAACCACGCACATACTATAGCTGCCTGTATTTTTCCGTATTTGTTGAGAACGAGAAATAAACTACAGTTGACAGTATACCTATAAATACACTAGGCGCTAGCGGAAAGACTCAAGGCCTAAAGAGGCCCGTTGCTTCGATTTCATTGAATCAAAATTGGAAACACATCTGCAATAGGAAATAAACTCTAACAAATCCTAAATAGAGCCTAATTTCTAATAACCCGATTAGATAAACCATCTGCGGCGCTAGCTGACGAAAGAGCGACCACAAGGATCGCGACTAATAATCGCTACACGTTTTATTGGTCGTAATTGTTGTCGTAAAATGCTAACAAAAGTTGCCTTTACGCTGCGCACGAGAGACGTGTTTATCATCCCACATTAGATTCCCATAATGAGTCAACGTAACACTATTCACGATATTTAGGTGAGAACGTGTTTTACGATTTTTTAATCGCTCCATGTACCTCAAACAATTTAAATAAACACTAATACTACCTTAAGAAGGGTTTGAAATTACTTACATTAGGTAGAGGAGCGGAAATTTTGTTACACGAATAAGTTGAAAGTCTTTTTAACAGCATTTTAAATTCTTCGTTGAACTTAATTTAACAATAAGATGTATAAAATATTTGATAGCTTTCTCATTATAAAAGTAGAAGATATCATTATAAGAGTAGAAAGAATTCTATGTCACAGGTCGGACTTGAACTCACGTTCAATGAGCATTCCGTGTTATTGCTGTATTTTTTATACCTATATGCATTTCCCAAATTTACAATCACCTTTAAATAAATATGAAGTTTCATTAGATTCAAGATTGAATTGGATAATATATATGTTGAAAATTAATGCTTTATCGCGAGATTTTCTACGAGTATATAAAATTACTTTAATATTCCACGCCGATAGGAGCGATACCTAGAAGGGATGAAGAATAAATTAAAATATGTAATTGCGCTAAGGTTGTACGTTCCATCTATCGCTTACATTGTTGCGATTCTCTGAAGGCTGTATTTGAATATCATATTGAAATTCTATTATAATTCTTCCTTGTTTTTCTTATCGTGACGTTCTTGGAGAATGGTAATGACCGTTTTGTGGAAGAGAGTGGCGTAGGCTGAATTCTATTTAGTATTGTGTAATTGCATTGGATTCAAATTAGATGACAGATAATAATTTAAACAAAAAAGGTTTTTATAAAAAGTTTGTACAGATACAAGTTTTGATAAGAAATAAAAGTTAATCTTATTGAAATTACGATAAAATTGTATACTTATAATTTATAGACACGCATATTTTACATAATAATTAATAACTACGCGCCCGAATTTCCCAATAAAATCATCGAGGAATTGTAAGTTGGTAAATTATTTCAAAAGTGGTGTTATAAATAGTTTTATAGAAAGAAATCTAATTTAAAGTAAATTCTTGACTAGTGTTTTTAGTTACCTATCCATTGCATAAATATGGGTTACGTCTTGTTCACTTGTAGGTGGTGTCCGTCCTCGGGCGCCATCTGACTCACCGACTACGGCCGATTGTTCGACAATAAATGTCGATGAAACCAGTAACTCAGACATTTTAGTGCCGACTTAGATAATATATGGGGCGATACGCGTTTGCCTCCAGCCTAACAAATATTGAAATAAGGCTGTATCTGACAACAGTGGAACAGTTTCAAAACTACCTTTAACTACAAACTTGCAGATACCTACATGAATGTTGTGACCCACCACAAACTAGACACATAACAGGGGCGACGCCGGGTATAAAATTAAATGTAGCGAATCATCGTTTAATTTTTTTTTTTTTTTTTATTATAATAGTAATTATTACACCTACGCTATATAAAAACATTGTAAACATGGACTAACTACACCATTAACAAACCCCAAAAGTAAAAAATAAACATCAACACAAAACTCAATAGTATGACAGAATATTACCCATAATTTGTCAATTCAAATATTTGTTTATTTCTATTTTCATCGAAATTTTACTTGTTTTATATATATCGAAATAATATTTTAAATCCAAGTATGCATTAAAATAGCCATAAATATCTCTAGCCATTCGGCCCTGTGCCGCCGCTTTTTACACTATAAACAATTCTCATAGGTCGTTAAAAAGAATGATGAGCTCTAACTGCATTTTATGGTCACTAAAATGTTGGCACGCGTCCCCGGGATACTTCTCACCTGATAAACTCAAATTTTTCATCAGCGTACATAAGGGCGAAAAATAAGCTGGACAAATGTCCTCTTATTTGTCCGAAACAAAATAAAAAACGATATATATTATTTCCGATGTTCAGGCATATGTCAATGGCTCAATAACAGCGAGGTTATAAAACCAACAATTTGTTTTTAATTCCTTATTTACGATTGTTTACGACAAATTATGTTCATAAAAGTGTGCATATTATTTTCAATATGTATAAGCTCAGTTATGCTTACCCCATACACTATGGTGACTATAAAGTAATTTTATCTATTAAACATTTTTAAAAGTAAAAAAATAAGCTACCATCTATACATCAAAGAACAATTTTTAAACCTGTGGGTATAATTAATAATTTCTAAGTCTCATAAATCACCCTTTATACATTTATTATTATACTTCGATTAATTATTTCAAAATGTGGTGTGTAATATATTTATTTACGCAGAAAATACCTACATTTCACGTAGGTACTTACCTAGTTACTTGTTCACAATTACGATTAGTTACAAATACCTACTCAAAGGAGTAGGATTTGCTCTCTATTCTAAATACAAACATTTCTAATTCAAATGTTAGAACGGAAAAGGAGTTTTCGTATATGATTGAAAAACAACTCGATCGAGTGCAGGTAGGGAATGCGATGGTTATAAATAGGTAAACAGCGTAAATAGAAACGGGTGTATCGACTCAACTAATCGATACAAGGCCTCCCCATTCGCTGTAATGTAAGTCAACAAAAGCAGAAAAGGGAAAATATATCTTGTTGAACGACAATAGAGTATATTTTCCTATGCATAAATTAAGATGTACTCACACGTGGTAGGAATTGAGTATAATATGTGCGTACAGCTAGTTAAAAGTTAAAGAACAATCATCATGATGGTTTTCCTTTAATCAAAGTAATGGAAGCTAAGATGTAACATATTGGGGATGTAGGGAAAGGAATTATGTTCAACCTAAGGTATACTTAAAGTGATATAATACAGATTGCCAATATTGTAAACACTACCATTAGATATGATCTGAAATATACTCCATCATTGACGTAAGAAGGGGAATTAAGAAGGTTTTATTGCGGATAGATGGAAGCCAGATTACTGCTGTTAATAGACGAAATATCATAACAAATGTTCTGCTTAAGAAGCTTTAGAGCGGTACATTGAATATATATAGGCGTTGTTATTATAATGTCTTTCGTAGAATGGGATATTATTTAGAAACGAAATACAGACATAATATGTTATAGCATACTGTCTAAAGTTTACGCGAGTAGTACACATTTAAATAAAACACTAACGGTCTAAAACACGATATATTAGTAAACTTATTTGAAAATGAGTTTAACAAGCTCGGTCCGTCGTGTGACCATGGGTGCTGCAAAGCATCCGAAACGTCGGGCCGAAGTTAAAATCATTTTCAAATAAGTTTAACAAATATATCGCATTTTAAATCGTTAAAGTGTTTTATTTAAATGTTATGGTATGTTTATAAAATCACCACACTATTTAATTTGTGCTAAATGCACTGCATTACATATGTCTATTGGTTTAGATTAGAAAAGAAAATCTAACCGACACATAACGCCTACCTGTAGGTAATTATAACCCATTGGTAATATGATTTCTTGTTGTCAATATTATGTTAGGTCAAATGCCATATGAAGTAATTTTACTAACTGCTATATAATAAATAGAAAAGTTTAACATTTTCACACTGAGCATGCATTTAGTTTGCTTTTCTTTTGCTGAAAATTTCCATCACAGCGCGAAAATGTTATTGGCAAACTTTTCACGAAACGGGGCCAGGCTTAAATGAAATCTTGAAACTTTTATCTTTTGCTTAGCGAACGATATTTTTGTTAAAAAATTTACCTCTTGAATTTTCGTCGAATGACAATGCTAAGTTTTCTTGAATATATTTAAACATTTTCAAGTTTCAGGACACCTTTAATACAATGACTGTAATAATACAAACCAAAAAAGTTCGTTTTCGTCAGTATTATAAATATAATAACTGTATACTATACCATTGATACTTATGTTTAAGTTAATTATTATTATAAATTAACTGTAAATTATGAATCGCGACAACAGTCAATAAACTAAAACCTTTTATACCAAGAAAATGTCTTACGGAGGAATTACAATTCGTTTACGAGCAGAATTTATAGCATTTTTATGTATTTTCAATTGGCCGCGGTTGACAATCGGACTCAAGTAAAATCTAGCAAAATATGTGAGCGAAGAGACCGAAGCTATTAAAATGCAAATTTAATTTTAATTTACTAAGCATTACAACGCATATAGGAGGTCTGAGCATTTATTTAATCCACTTGGCATATACTGTGTGCCTGTTTGCCTACGTTATTAAATACTACAGGTATAATTATACTTATATACAATTGATACATATGCTATGTAGAATGTAGTATTTATAAAAATTAGTATTAATAATATGGAGTTAATTTATTTTTAAGACTTAGTAGATATTCATTAATTCTATCTATATCATCTAATTAAGGAATTTATGTACCTATTAGTAGGTATTTGTATCTTAAGATCTACACTACTTAACTTAACCTTATGAAGATACTTTTATTTATAAACTTATTTATACCCTACATTGAAATATACCTAACAAACCTGATCCTTCATTCTAGTGAATATCGATAACGTTAAACACGTTTTAGATCAAGAGATAATCCTATAACAGAAATATGTTTGGAAATAAAAAGAAGCTTTTTAATAATGACTTATCGTCCTATCAATGTAACATATACCTATTTATTTACGTAAAGTTAGGTATTTTAAAATTGAACTCACTTGCTTCTCATAAATTTAGCTTAGTCACAAAAGGTTAGAGGGAAACCTTAAATTGAAGAAAAATGCTGATTAAACTAATCGCAAGCTTCATTGAGGTATTCAGGAGCGAATATAAGGGCGTGATTGCGCGATTTAGCCAAAATTAAATCATTACTAACACCTGTGCTCTCCTCGGAGCGTCCCACGGTCTCCAACTCAATTAGGAAACGAACTAAACGGTCTTTACCCGTATTATATTTCTAGTCTTCTCCATGAAAATGCAAAATACGTATATAGGAAGACGATATATAAAGGCAAAGAGACAATCACTGTAATTTATGGACTCTACTTAACTTTTATCAGGGTTTGTCATGCGTAGCTAATGTTACAAATTCGTTTTTGAAGCGTAAAGATATTCTTTTAAAAGTTCCATTTTTAAAACGGTGTCTAAATAAATTTCAAAATTAGAAAACCAATTATCATAGTGATATTATATATAATCGATGGATTATTAGGGTGTCAACGAGTCTTAACACGATATTTATTACACCCCACATTTTTCCGACACCCGAGTTTTTCATAATATTTATCCAATCACAATCGAAACCGCCTCATCATTTATGAAAAATCGTTTCTCTCCAGTTTCGTATAAAAAGCTCATTTCAAATTAAAATTAAGGTCTAGCGTAACTAATGAAAATACACCTAAATTTTCACTTCTTGTGTAATGAAAATAATACTTTAAATCCATCCATCAATGTTCATTTTTCTATGAAACGTTTGGTGTTTACGACTTGCTTAAAAAGATGTTTGTCAAAATAACGGATTGTCTTTTAAGCTCCATCGGTGTATTGGGATACAGCATTGAATTATAATATGACGAAAAAAGATCAATACTTTTAGGTAGAATTTTTAATACATAGGTAGGCAAAATTTCGATGTTTAGAACTGATGTTTTTTAATAAACACGTCTGAAGAGAAAGCCGTTGTCATGTAAATACAATATTATTTAAAAAACATTAATATGTCAAGACATTTCCATGAAAAACCGATAAAGTTCAAATAAAAGGCATATAAAGGCGTCATTATTTTATATTATCAATTTAACTGTCACTGGCTTACAATAATTTAAAGGATATTTGCTTTCTCGTAAATCATCTTGTATTTAGGTAAAAACCGTACGTATTTATGTAACTAACGTGTACGTAAATAGATCGGTTATACGTACATACATACGTAAGTCTAATATACAATTTCATCGACCGAGTCCATTAACATCAAGCATTATTGAGGTCGTATATCGAACCCCAAGTCATTCCGATAGCCACAACGTTCCATTAAAAGAAAACATAAAGTTGCATTATTAAGTGTTAATAATTTCACGAGAAAATACTCAGATACCTGACTGATAAATTAGGGTTTTTAAGTATCAGTAAATCGTGTTTAATTAGTAATTACATCCCAATTATAATGTTGTGTACAAAAGTGAAAATTTAATATTACCAAAAACAGTAGGTATGCAAGTAGTTAAAACAGTAGCTTCATTACGGTAAACTT